TGAAGAAGTAGTACATGACGTACGTGGCGCACAGGGTGGCCCACGTGGACGGTGACACCACGTTGTACCACTCGATGACCTCCAACCACACACGCTCCACGAACGCTGCCGTGTAGGCCGACGTGGGTGCCACCTTTGGTGCCGCCGCGGACGACTCAGGGCGTGCTGAATCTGGCAGGGTTGGCGTGAGAGTTGTCGTCGGCGATGACGTCTCGGCTGCGCTCGGTGCCGGCGTTGGTGCTGGTGTCAACGTTGGTGCCCGCGTAGGCGTGGGCGTGGGTGCTGCCGCTGGCAGTGCTGGTGTCGAAGCTATGGACGATGCTGCCATGGATGCGAGCGTCGATGCAGACGGCGGAGTTGGCGTAGATGCTGGCTGCAACTCTGGCGTGGGTACCGGCGTAGGCGCGGGCGTGGGTGGTGACGCTGGCGGTGCTGGCGTCGGAGCTGTCGTCGGTGCTGGCCTCACTGTTGACGTCGGGGTGGGTGTCGGGTCTGACGTCGCTGCTGCCTGTGACTCTGGCTTTGGTGCCGGCGTGGTGGGGGCGGCCGCTGGCGCTGGAGGTGCTGGTGTCAGAGCTGTCGTCAGTGCTGGCGTCGGTGCGGGCGTCGACAGGGACGTCGGTGCTGCCTTCGGCTCTGACGTCGCCGTCCAGGGGGCAGGCGTGGATGCTGACACTGCCGATGCTGGCGTCGGAGCTGCTGTCATTGGTGCTGACGCCTCGGCTGCACTCGGGGCCGGCGCTGTCGCTGGTGTCGGAGCTGCGTGCGGGTCTGGTGTTGGTGGCGCCGTAGTCGTGGGCGTAGGTGCTAACGTAGACGATGATGCCGCCGGCGAGTCTGACATGGCTGCCGCCGTGGGCGGCCGCCCGAAAACTGGCACTGCCGATGCGGCCGCACGTGCTGTCGTCGATGTTGTCGTCGATGCAGACAGTGCCGCAGACGATGAAATCGACGAGGCAGACGTGTCATGACATGACATGGCGGTCCCACTAGCGTAGGGTGCGCCTGAAGACGGCACCCGCGCCAGCGGCCCTGGGCGAGGCGTCAGGACAGTGAATGGCTGAGGGCTCGTCGAGGCAGGCGTCGATGCGGTCGTCGGTGCTGACGTCGCTGTTGGGGTCGATGCGGGCCGTGGCGCAGGCGTAGGTGTCGACGTGGCGGACATGATACGGCGTGGCATGGCGGCCCCAATAGCCGTGGGTGTGCCTGATGGCGTCGATCTCGTCGTCGATGCCGCCGTCGGTGCCGACGATACTGAGGCCGACCCTGTCGTCAATGCTGGCGTCGGTGCGGACGTGAGCGCGGGAGCCACGGCCGTGTATGCCGCCGTGGATGCAGTCATGGGTGCTGTCGTGGATACCGCTGTGGAGGCCGTTTGGGGTGCTGCCGTAGATGCCGACGTGGGTGCCAACGTTGGTGCCGCCGCCGGCGAGTCTGCCACTGCTGACGTCGAAGGCGGTCGCCCGAAAGCTGTCGCTGCCGATGCGGACGTCCCAACTGCCGTCCGTGGTGGCGTCGATGTAGTCGTCGGCACAGATAGTGACACAGACGATCCGGGCGACGAGGCGGACGTGGCATGACATGACATGGCGGCCCCACTAGCGGAGAGTGCGCCTGCCGCCCGCGGCCCTGGACGAGGCGTCAGAGCAGTGACTGGCTGAGGACTCATCGAGGCTGGCCTCGATGCGGCCGTCGGTGCTGACGTTGATGTGGACGTGGGCGCCTCAATCGATGCGGTGGTCGGCGGTGCTGGCCTAGAGACACCCAGGGTCGTCGGCGGGGTGGGATAAATAGTGGGTGGCGGCACTCGGTGGCACCCTGCAGCGGGACTAAAGTCAGTCGCTTGGGGGTGGGGCACATGAGCAGTATGATCGACTGTCAGAGGGTAGCGCTGCCGTTCGGTGGATGCAGGCACGGGTGCTGGCGTCCTGGTGACCGTGGACGCTGGCGTCGATGTTGACGTCAATGCAGGCAGTGGCACTGACGATGGTGTCGACGAGGCGGACGTGGCATGGCATGGCATGACGGCCCCAATGGCGCAGGGTGCGCCTGAAGACGGCACCCGCGCCAGCGGCCCTGGGTGATGCCGAGGAGAGGTCTGTAGGTCACCAGGCTTCGGCGGGCCTGAAGACGCCGCCGAGCGAGTGGCCATGCAGGGAGCGCAGGAGTGGCTGATTGTGGTGCTGACGTCTCCTGCGGCCGTCGGAGCTGTCGCTGGCAGTACTGGCGTCGCTGCCGTCGATGCTGACGTCGGAGCCGCCGCTGGCAGTGGTGGCGTCGCTGCCGTCGATGCTACCGTCGGAGCCGGCGATGCTATCGATGCCGCCGTCGGAGTCTGTGAAACTGCGGGCGGAGCCGTCGTCGCTGCCGTCGATGCGGCCGTCGGAGCCGACGATGCTAACGATACTGACGTCGGAGCCGGCGGTGCTAACGATGCTGCCATCGTAGCTGACGATGCTAGCGATGCTAGCGGTGCTGCCGTCGGAGCCGTCCTCGCCGCCGTCGATGCTGCCGTCGGGGTCGGCGAAACTGTGGTCGTTTCTGCCGTCGGTGGGAGCGTCGATGCTGACCTCGGCGCCGGCGCCGGTACTGCGTCGTCAAGGTCGTCGTGGTCGTCGTCGTCTCCTCCTCCTCCTGCGGGGCGGGGTGAGGGAGGGGGCGAGGATGGTGCCGAATCCGTACCCCTCGCTGGCGTCGAGGCTGACTGCAGTGCCGTCGTCAGAGCTGGCGTCGATGCTGTCTGCGGAGCTGGGGTTTGGTCCGTCGTGGACGTGGGCGTGGAGGCTGCCGAGGACGATGCTGACGTCGATGTTGACGTCGATGGGGCCATAGGCACAGACGCTGGCGTCGGCAAGGCGGACGGGTCATGGCATGACAGGACGGCCCCTCTAGCGTCAGGTGCACCTGAAGGCAGCGCCCTCGCCAACGGCCCTGGGCGAGGCGTCAGGACAGAGGATGTTGAAAGGCCCGTCGAGGCTGACGTCGATGCGGTCGGCAGTGCTGGTGGCGATGCTGAGGTCGATGCAAGGACGAGCATGACGACGGCCGAGATGGTGGCCCGTTTGGGGCGGGCCAGGCCCGCCGTGCCCTTGAAGCCGCAGGCGGAGCCGAGGACGCCGAAGAACGCGCAGCCGACCTTGACGGCCCTTGTGGGGCGGGCTGGGCCCGCCGTGCCGGCGGAGTCGACGATGTGCTTGACGACGCTCCTGGTGCCCTTGCCGATGGTACGCAAGACCGTACCGACGGTGCCGAGAGCGATGCCGAAGGTGGAGCCGAGGCCGTACCCGAAGTTCAGCAAGATAATGCCGATGAAGTTGAGAGCGGTGCCTGCGGTGCCGCGGGAGCGCTCTCGGGGGGAGGTTGGGGGCCGACTGCTTGTCACGCACGGCGCGACGACGGCAGGCGTGGGAACAGCCCGACCGCACTCAGCACCGTCACCCTCAGCAGTCGGGAGCCCGACCCCCCCCTGGATACCTGGCCGTGCCGAGGTGAGCAGGTGCTGGACGGAGTCGTCTGTGTTGGCGTCGGTGCCTGGTAGGTGAGCGCGGAGGTCGGCTCGGTAGGCGCGCAGCTCGGCGCGCAGGTGGAACACGTCGTGCCCGAGTATACGTAGATCCTCGTGAAGATCCGCACGCGGCACGTGTGGGGCGTGTCCAGGTGGTACTGGGAGGTCGCGCCCGTGCAGGACGGGCACGCGGAAGACAAGGTCCTGGTGCCTATGTTCAGTAACATGGCCAGGCAGCTCAGGTAGTACAGCATGGTGAGACGTGAAAGTGCGGTGGCGGCCTGGCGCAGACAGGGGGGCCATGGCGGCGGTCGCACTGAGGAAGTGAGGAGACGCAAATCAGTACCGCGCTGCTGGCACGGTTCCGGTCTCGCGAGGCCTGGAGTCGGGACTCCAGAGCGGGGCGCTTCGCGTCGCGGCTACGCTATGAGTGCAGGGCACTCTCGAGCCGAGACTCGAGAGAGAGAGAGAGAGAGAGAGAGAACAAAAAAAAAAGAAACAAACATAGAGAAAGAAATAGAGAGAGAGAGAGAGAGAGAGAGAGAGAGAGAGAGAGAGAGAGAGAGAGAGAGAGAGAGAGAGAGAGAGAGAGAGAGAGAGAGAGAGAGAGAGAGAGAGAGAGAGAGAGAGAGAGAGAGAGAGAGAGAGAAAGAGAGAGAGAGAGAGAGAGAGAGGGAGAAAGAGAAGCAGGAGGATGAGAAAGACAAGAAGGGGGAGGATGAGGAGGAGGGCGAAGAAGGAGGAGGCGGAGGAGGAGGTGGAGAAGGAGAAGAAAGATGACGTGAATCATCACAACAACTCACGCGGTGCTCTCGCATTTTTCTATTCGCGCTGCGCGCCGCTCGCAGCAGACGAACCCTTCGCGCGCAACTGCGAACGACCCGTGCACCCGCAAACGCGGATTGGTCGTGCTCAGAGCCCTCTTGTCTATATGTGTGCCGTTCTCTCTCGGCATAGAGGGGCGTCCACAGCTGCGGAGCGGCGTCCGCAACTGCGGACGCTGTGCCCCTCGCCTTCAGAACCGCTGGTTCTTGCGGGGGGGCAGGTGGGGCCCTTTCCCGCCGTGGGGCCGCAGGGGCGCCTTCGTTTGCGTGCATTTGAAGCGTCGAAATGTCCCTGGGCCCCAGCCCCCCCCCAGGCCGCGCGGCGGAGGCGCCGCGGGCCTGCCCCGCCACTCCTCTTCGGACGTCTCGTTTGCAAGCGTTTTCCTCTGCGGGCGCAGCCGCGGGACAGACCCGTCGTCTCTCTCGAAGACGAAGTCCCACATTGGCAGTTCGACGTCCGCCTGCCACCCCGCGGCTTTCAACGCGACGTGCCTCTCGTGATCGCAGCTGCCAACCCTTGGCGCGCGTGGGCACCTCGCCAGGCCGCGGCTGCGGCCATCGCGCCCTTGCACTGCAAGCGCTTGGGGCTCGCGGTCGAGCTCCGCAATCAATTCTTGTCATCGCCATCGTACACGTCTGTCATTGTTGAAGGCCCACATTGGCCCGTCACCTCAAATGACAGCCGCGGCGACGGTGGGCTCGGAATTCGAGAGCGCCACCGGCATGGGCGAGAAGGGGGCGCGCCGGTTCTGATGCGCGTCGCGGATGTACTTCAAGGCAGCGCGGCGCTGCCTGTGGCCCCCCGGGAAGTCGTGAGTCGCGACAGAGCGAAGGTGCTCGAGGTCGAAGCCTCGCCGTTGAGCGGCCGCAACTGCGGCTTCGTTGGGCGCGCCGCAACTGCGGCGCGCCCCCCCTGCTCGTCTTGCCGCGGCGCGACCTCTCGCGGCCCCTCGCGCCAGCCGCGCTGCTCCCGCGACTCGTCGCGCCAGCCGCGCTGCCCCCGCTGCGCGTCGCGCCGCCAGCTCTGCAATTACTCAATATGAATGCTACTCTCCCTCTTCCCCTGATGGCGCGCTGGGAATAGTGCCCCCCCCCCCCCTCCCCCCCGCGTGATTTTTTTTTGTTTTTTTTTAAACGCGCAGGATTTCCGGGGGTTGGGTTTGCGCGCAGGATTTCCGGGGGTTGGGTTTTCGCAAAATGATGCTCTCGCTGAGGCGCCGGCCTCATTTCTGCTCCCGAATCTTCCGGATCGTGCTCCCGCTGCAGCGTGGGCCTTATTTTCCGATCGGTTTTTTCCTTCCGTCGTTCAGGATGGCGGTCTCCGCGCCGCGCAACGCCCCGCCGCGCGCATACCCACCGCCACTTCCACCCACCAACGCACGCACGCACGCACGCGCACCACCACCGCGCACCGCCACCACCACCGCACTACCCCACCCAACGCCACCACGCTACACCACATCACACGCGCGCACACGCAGACACACACGCACGCACGCACACGCACACACGCACACACGCACCCACACACGCACACACACACAGACACACACACCACCACCACCGCCACCACCACCACCGCCATCACGCACGCACGCACCTGGCCCACTACCATGCCACCAAGACGCCAGACCCCCTCACACCACAGCACACGCGCACACACGCACACACACATACACACCACCACCGCAACGACCACAACCACGCACACGCGCACGCGCGCACGCGCACCACCACCAACTACGCACACGCGCGCGGAGCCACAGGTCCGCTACGACACGCGTCCGCGGATAGAGAAAATCAGCGCCATGGCAAGGGGCGGGGGGGGTAGGATGTCAGATGTTGACGCGAGCGCACCTAACTAGCCTCACCCCCTCCCCCGCCTCTTCTCCGCCAGGGCTCGCCCCGCCAGCCTTGCCCCTCTACTGCCGCCGCAATTGCGGCCGCTGCTTCGCCGCTGGAGCTCGCGGCGCCCCGCGGGTGCCAGTTGCCATCGTTTGCCCAATGGGGGCGCGGCGCCCGCGGTGCTTGGGACATGGCGACCAAACTTGGTTCGGCACGGCGTCGGCGCTGTCGGGGGATCGCCGGAGGAGGAGGATGGCGACCGGGGGGGGGAGGAGGAGGAGGAGGGACAGGAGGAGGAGGAGGAGGAGGGGGGAGGAGGAGGAGGAGGAGGAGGAGGAGGAGGAGGAGGAGGAGGAGGAGGAGGAGGAGGAGGAGGAGGAGGAGGGGGGGGGGGGGGGGGATGGGATGAGAATTAAGGAGGGGGGGGGGGGGGGAGACGTCGGGGAAGGAGGGGGGGGATGGGGGGGGGCAGGGGGGGGGGGGGGAAGAGCAAGAGGTGAGGGCGGATAACGAAGAGGAGGAGAAGCGGGAGGACGAGAGGGAGGAGGACGAAAAGGAGGAGGAGGAGGTGCAGCACTAGGAGGACGGGGGGGAGGAGGATGAGGCGGAGCAGGAGGAGGAAGAGGAGACGCGGGGAGGATAATGGAGGAGGATGCGGATGAAGAGGGGGGGGGGGGGGGGGGGGAAGGGGGGGGGCAATGATGATGGTGAGGAGGAGGACTAACAACGATGAAAATGGTGAGGGTAATGACAAGTATGAAGACGATGATGATGAGGAGGAGCAGGAGGAAGAGCCATGACTATGATGATGATGATGATGGCTATGTGGGGACATGAGCACGAATACCAGGACAAGAAACATACTGGTGATTATGATGTTGCCGGCTGTGCAAGGACAACAAACAAGCAATGTCAAGACGATGGGGAAGAGAAGGAAGGGGCAGATGAGGAAGAATAGCAGGTTTGCGATGGGATCCAAGAGGTTCGCTCCGGACCCATTGGGCCCCCTCTGGAAAAGGAAAGGGTCCGCTCCGGACCCCTTGGATCGCCCCAATTAGGATGGCGTTTGGATTAGCACAGCTCGGCCGCCCCAACAAGGCGGGTTGGGGGGCGGGGGTGGGGGGCCCGCCCGCCGACGGTGATGTCGACCGCTCTCCAGGCCCACGCCGCGGCAGCACGGCGGCGAGACGTGATATTGAAAACCAATAGCTTTTCAAACCGCGCCCAGCCGAAGCGACTGGGGGGGCTATAAGGCGCCCTCGACCTTGAGCGGCGTCGATCCCCCGTGGAGCTCGCTGGAAACGCGCCCCCGAGCCCCGAGAGTCTGGGCTGAAGATCCCACGGCGCTGGAGTCCACGACGAACGACCCCATGGCGACGCGAGTCGCGCCAGCGGGGCTCAGGGCGCCGTCGAAGTCTAGGGCGCCATCGGAGCTCGGGGCGGTGCAGGGCGGCGCAGAGCTTCCCAAACCCTCGCGGGTGAGCATCGTAGGCGCCCCAATGCCGCCCGAGTTCATCGGGTCGCCGAGGGGGCAGCCGACGGCGCGGATGTGGGTCGCCACCGCTGAGGCGAGGGCCGCGTTGCCGCATTGGACGGAGTGCCCCTCCCAATCCATGTGGGGCCATATGAGGCCTGCGCCCAGCGACGGAGGCGCAACCAGAAAGGACATGCCGATGGAGATCTCGGACGGCATGTCGCCGTCGACGGCGGCGCCGTCGCAGTGCTCGCAGTTGGTGCATATGTTCGCCGGGGCCGCGCCCGACGACATCGCCGCAGAGTCCTGCGGGGGGCGCGTCGAGGACAGAATTCCTGACGGGGCAAAGCAAAACGGCCGAAGCGGGGAGGTGCGGGGGGGGCCAGGGAGGGGCGCATCAGGGGTGGAGGGAAGGGGCAGGAAGGTGGAGAGGACCCTTGGCGAATCACTCCTGCAGCTCAAGCGCCCGCTGGAGATGCCAAAGGGACCGGGGCACAGAGAGAGAGAGAGAGAGAGAGGGAGAGAGAGAGAGAGAGAGAGAGAGAGAGAGAGAGAGAGAGAGAGGGAGACCGCTCTTCGGGCGCGGGGGGGGGGTCATCGTCGCGAGCGCGCGCGCCCCCTGGAGTTTTCGCCCGCGAGCGCCCCAAATGAATATCGCGAGGGGCAGCCAGGGCTAGCCTCGTCTTAGACAGCGCGGCCCAGAGCTGACCCCTTTGACCCTGGGTCCCCGAAGCCAGCCAGGACCAGCCAGCGGCTCGGGCGGGCCAGGCGGTCGGGGGGCAGCAGCTGGCGGCGCCGACGGTGAGCCCGCTGACAGGTCCAACCTGCAGGGGGGCCTGACAAGGGCCCCATACCTGGAGGGGCGCAAAAAAGCAGCCGGGAGAAGAAGGGGCAAGGGGGGGCGGGGGGGGGGCGCGGCTGGAGCGGAGGGAAGGAGGGAGACCGGGAAGGAGGAAGACGAGGAATAGGCGACGAGCGAGGAGGAGCAACTCAGGCGGGCGCAGGCCCATGCACGGGTCGCTAAGGAGCGCCCAGGCGGCGGCGCCGAGTCGACCCCGCGCTGAAAATGAACGCCCCCCCCCCCGCCCCTTCTCCCGAGGCGCGCCGAAACGGCGGGGGGAATTTCGGCCACGCTCGTAGGACAGCCCCCCCCGGCGCAGTCGCTGTCCGCGGCGGGGAATTCAATGTTCCTGTTCGAATCTCGGTGCGGCCTGAATCCGCGGATAGGCCGGTACACCCAAAAACATGTTTTCTGAAGTTCGCCGCAGAAGCAGGATTGATGCCGCGAGCCCCGAAACCGTCCGCAAGAATCCTGCGCCCCCCAATCTGGGTCGGGCTGGCGGTGCTCTGGGTCGGGGCAGCGGCCCCAGCGCAGCGCCGGCGCCGCCCAGCGCAAGCGAGGGGCGCGCAGGTGCCAAGGGCGCTCGCCACGGCGATGCCGTCGGGCAACGTGGCGTCTCAGAAAACTGGCTGAGTTTGCTGTCGGGGCCGGTCCCGACGCAGAGCGCGACCAGCGCGTCGAGACCTGCGAAGGCGATCAGCAGGGCGAGGCCCCGCGAGGCATCCACGAAGTCCCGCGGAGGTCCTGCTGATGCAGGGCCTAAGGGGGCGCGGCAAAGACTGCGGGGCATTGAGGGGCAAGCGGATGCAGGGAGGGAGGAGGAGGAGGAGAAGGAGGCGGCAGGGGTGGGAGAGAGGAGGGGCGGCGAAGTGGGGGGGGGCCCTGGCGGGCCACCCACGAAGCGCATCCACCCATCGGGAGACCCTGCGGCACTAGCAGCAAGCAGAGGCAAACCCTCCTTCCACGGGGGGGGGCAGCATCGACGTCGCTGGCTCCTTCGCTTCGCGCCCCAGAGCTCGCACCCACCCAGGACAACTACCGCAGTGAGGAGCCAAGGGGGCCCACGCGCCAGGCGACGTGGCCGGGGGATGGGCTGGCACCCCCTGGGAGAAGGTCTGAGGCCGCTCATTTTTACCCTGAGTCCCCGGAGCAGACCAGAGCGATCCAGCGGCGCAGGCAGGCCAGGCGGCCCAGGGGCAGCGGGGCAGCTGGTGCCTGTCGGCGTCGTGGTTGTCAAAATACAATGTTGATCGGTGCCGTTCAGCTGGGTGGCGCGGCGGTGCTCAACCAGGTTGTTGGCCAGGTGCTCGAGGTCGCGGTGCTGATGAGCGATGGTGCGCCAGGCCTCGTTAGGTCGCAGTGGTGAGCTACGTAGTGCAAGTGAGTTGCGCGACGTGCGGCTCCGTTGCGCCCAGCGCGGAGCTGGGCATTGGCGCGGTCAACAGCGGCGTTGTGGACAACGAGGTGCTGGGGACATCCGTTGTTCTGGACGCCAGAGTCGCGACCGTCTCCGCCGCCGTCGACGACGCAGCGCTCGAAGTCCCAGTGGTCGTGCGCGGCATTGCGGTTGGCCCCCCCGTTGGAGTCGTTCGGGGTCGCGGCGTCGCGAGCGGGGGCTCGGCAGTAGGCGAGCAGGGGCGAAGCAGAGCAGCAGGAGGCGACGACAGTGGCCAGGGGGGGGCCGGAGGCGCTGGATGAGGGAAAGGCTGGAGAGCCGTGCGACAGCCTGCGCCCCCACGCAGGCTGCGCTCATCCCTAGGCCCCCCCTGCAAGGAGAAATAAGAACACAGTTAGGAGTGGCGGCCGACGCCCCGCCGTCGGCTCGGTCTCTCTATCGAAACTGCGGCTGCGCGACGTTGAGCGCGTCAGGGGAGGAGAGGCGAGGCTGGAGACAGGGAAAAGCACGGCGCGCACGGGGGTCGGGGGGCTCCGCGACGTTACCACGCCCGCCCACGAGAGCCCCGAATCCACAGATGCGCGCGGGCCTGGGGAGCAAAAGTGACAGGTCGATATGGGGGGGCGGGTTGGAGCAGAGTCAGAGAGGGCGATGGCGACTGAGGGAGGGCCGCTCATTGCGCCCACGCGCGTCGGCCGCGCGGCGCCGCGCAGGCCGACCCCGACAGAGGGCAGCAGCGCCGGCGGACGTGCGAAGCAGAGCGCCGTGGCGGGCCTGCTCGCCGCCACGCCCAGCTGCCGGCGCTGGCCGCGCGGCTCGATGTCGGCGCCCGCCAGTTTCGCGGGCCAGATGGCGACGATGCCGGCGGCCTGCAGGATGCTCTCCTGAACGAGCCAATTGGCAATATCCTTGGGGCCCCCGGGGCGGCGCCACGGTCTCTGGGCCCACTCGCGCGTCCGTGAGGAAGGCGCGGCGGTCGCGGATCGCGCAGTCGCTTCGCAGCTGGTGCACCTCGAGCTGCGCGCGGCCGTCGGCCATGCCCCACCGCGCCTGAGGCGCCGGGGGCATCCGCCAGGGAGCGCCGAACAGCCATAGGGCACCCGGCGCGCTTGCCACAACCGCGGTGCGAAGTTCCCAGCGGGCACCGACGGCGCGCCGGGGGGGGGGCGCCATCAGAGCCGTCGCACCCCGCAAGGGCGGCGCCGCCGGGGGGGGGCCCGCGCCGACGCAGGGGGGAAAGCAGCGAGGGCAACGTGACGTCGCAGCAGTGCACGTCGTAGTTTGGCCGAGGCGTCCGCCGTCATAGACGCTGATGCCGCCGTTGACCTTCGCTCAAGTACGATATTGAAGTCCTCGTCCTTTTTCATCGAGTCCAGGGTCGCTGGCCGGAGCTTCTCGCTGGAGTCGGTCATGGTAGTAGCCGGATCCATTCCCAAAGCCCGCCGGCATGGTGAAGAGCCCTTTGCGAAAGCCAACCGATTGACCTGATGTGACACATAATTGCAAACCTCCGTGATCCAATCGTCTGCGATAGCCGACCGGGCGCCACGGTCGAACATGTCTGCGCAATAAAGCTCCACTGCCACTCGAAAAACCGGATGCCGACGTTCCACCACTCCTCAACAGGAATGAACTTTGCCTGCTGCAACGACGATCGAGATGCAATGCTGTTCTAAAAACTGTGTAAAACGATATGACGCAAAACCTGAACCATCGTCTGTCCGCAATCCTCGATGGTTCCAAGCTGCCGGATCCAGCGTCGCTCAACTGCCATGGTCAGCTCCTCTGCTCTCTCGCCCTGATGGTACGTAGTGCACAATAACGCGCGAATTTCCGGCTTACCGGTACTATTCTTGATCCAGAAGACGTCCGTGTAGACGATCTCGTCGAACTTGGTGGCCTGTTTCGCTGACGCATTGGGTGCATTTGGTGGGCGTTGTCTGGCTATGCAGTGTTCACGCCGATACTACGATGCACGCTGTAAGATGTTGCCCTGGGCGCCTGCCTGTTGAAATAGACGATGTAGTACGGCTGGGTTGGGGGTGTCCATGTTCCGGAGAATTCTCTTGACGCAGCGTAGTGCCTCCGACCCGCGCGGCTCTCGTAGGCGTGCGCGTTGGCGACCTTCGACTGGAATATGAGTGCTCGGGTTTGGCGCCCTCCCCCGATTGCGTTGAGTCCTCCGCTGCGTAGATGTCGTCGATCTCGGTCTCGACCATGACTTGCGCAATCGTCGCTGCTAGGATGAACGGTTCGTCCTCGGCAAGCTTGGTGAGCTTCCGCCCCATCCAGTAGGTCGTGTCCATGTGATCGGTTGCATCGCTTGCTGAGTACTGCTGCCATGACCTCCTTGGTCGTCTTAAGTGCCGTCGGCTCCATGGCCATGTTCGCGCTGCCCTCGCCGCGTAGGCAGCTGAACGCCACGGTGCGCAACGCCCACGATGTAGCTGGATGTTCGATGTGAGCATGTCGCCATTCTTGTTACTGTATGCGATGCGCTTTGGCCGCAAACTGTAGATGCACTCGATGATGCCATCCTCGTAGCTCGGCGAGGCACTCTGCCCGACTGGGGCGCTCCTGCATGTCGGACCAGGGTCCCCATATTGGTGACGGATGAACCTCGACAGGCTGGTCCTCCGCCAGCTTCTTGAGGAATGCCTTCAGATGATCCCCCGTGGCGAAATCCCAGCCAGCATTGAACCCAAACGTTTCCACGCGTGCTCCTGAATCTCGCAATGCTTGTGAAAGTCTGGCTCCTCCGCCGTAGACTTCCCAGATCGCCCGTCTCGTAGTGCACCGCTGGCGAGCTGCACTCCTCATGGTCTGTGGGAACTGGTCGCTGGCGCGCTTCGCGGCTGAGTCGATCTTCTGAGCGAAGTTGGGCGGTATCTGCTGGATGCCAAATTCGGCGTCGTCGTCGGCGCTGAAGTTCACCTCGTCCGTCGTAGGTAACAGTAGGCACCAGCGCGGCTCCGATAGCGCGGCGTCGACTGGCTCGATGGCTGTCGTAGTGAAGCACAGGTCGCCACATGAGGAATGCCGCTGCCACTGCCGCTGCCTCATGAAAGA